AAGGAGCTCCCAGTGTGGGCCACTGGTCATGGAGGCTGGACTTCCGGGGTGAAGGAGCTCCCAGTGTGAGCCACTGGTCATGGAGGCTGGACTTCTGGGATGAAGGAGCTCCCAGTGTGGGCCACTGGTCATGGAGGTGGGACTTCCGGGGTGACAGGAGCTCCCAGTGTGAGCCACTGGTCATTGAGCCGTGGGAGGGGTGGGTGCTACTGCTCCTCAGCCCCCTGTCCCAGAAGGCAAGCCCCTGGAGGGCCACCCGGGCCCTCTGTTTTCAGAACCTGTCACTGGAACTCCAATGGAGAGGGTTCCTTGCGGGCTGAGGGAAGGAGATTCCTGCTCCTGGGAAGCTACTCCTTGTGCAGCAGAACCTCCCGGCCTGTCTTACACTGTGACCAGGGGCCCCTCCCAGCCCTGTGGGTCAGCTGGGGGACGTCCGTGTCCACTCTGGACAGCTCTGTCTCCTGAGTTTGACACCAAGGTGTGTGATCACTTCCAGAAGTTTCCATCATGAACTTCTTGCTGTGCTTTATGTTCTGCATCTTTCCAGTAAGAGGGCAATAGTGGTCTGGATAGGTTAGGGTAAAGGTGGGATTCTGAGAGCATCCTGGGGAGGGGGTGACTGTGCATGCAGGGGCTGGGGGGGAGTGCTGTGCACGCATGACCCAGTCTCGGAAGATCCAGCTGTTGCCAAGCACAGGGAACCATTTCTCACTGCTCGCCATCTCCACCATGCAGAGAGCACCCCCACCCCTCCAGTCTCCCCCTGGGACCTACTCCCTCAAAACTGGGGGTGCAAACCAGCCCATGACGGAGCAAAGATGGCTGCTCTTTTGCTTGATTTCTGGTTGGGCAGAAACGTCCTGAGCCCTCAGCCTCTCGGGAGCCTCAGGCAAGAAATTGGTCAGAGCTCTGGCCTCTCTTCCATGGCTTAAGGGCACTCCTCAGAAGATCAAATGTCACGTGCACTGGGTAGAGAAGGCCAGGCTCTCTGCTCAAGATGGTTATTGCTGAAGACAAATGAGTGTTTGCTGAGAGCAGAGCCTTCCCCAGCAATGACTCGTCCAGGAAAGGGAAAATTCTCATAGCCACCACATCCAAGATGGAGCCAAGGCCTGGTCCTTGCCTAAGCAGGAACTACTGGGGAGGGGAGGGGAGGGTGATACATGCTGTGCGAGGCTCTCTCCAGGGGCACAGCGGCGCTCCCAGCAGAGCCAGCCCAGCCAGCACTCTGGCTGGAGGTCATTCTCCAGCAGAGGTGGGAAGGAGAGAGGTCATGCGCAGTACAGTCACCCCAAGCTCACCGTCGATCCGTCTGCGTTGACTGAGGCAGGAAGCAGAGGCTCCACCACTGGGATAGCGGGTAATGAAGGAGGCCAGTGGCTTAGCCGACCATCACTAGGCCGAGGTGGGGGGAAGAAATGCCTCAGCCCTCACCAGGTACAGATCCAGTAGAGGTAGGCCCATACAGAGGCATATTGGGCAACAGGTAGGGAGAAGACATGGAAGGAAGCTGGCATTGTCATATCTAAGTGAAAGAAGACAATTAAAAAGGCTGCATACTGCATGGTTCCAACCATGTGACATCCTGGAAAAGGAAAAAGCGTGGTGAAGAGATCAGAGGTAGCCGGTGCTTGGGGTGGTGGGGGTGGCAAATAGGGGGAGCCCAGGGGACATGTGGAGCAAGGAGCAACTCTGTGTGGCAGTGAGATAAATGGTAGCTACACTGTTTTAACACCGAGGTTCACAGGACACAAAGTAGGAGCTTGGGGATCCAGGTATCAGTATGGGTTTTTGCCATATCAATGCCAGATGTCAACCGCAGGGAAGGCAGATGTGTGGATGTGGCGGTGGCTGGACACGGAGGATCCCCTGCTCAAGTTTTCTGTATATCTAAAAGTGCTCTGATCCGAGAGAAGCTGCTCCAGAAGTTGACAGTGCTCCTTCCTTCTTTCCTTGCTATGTGGAGGCCGATAGGCCCAGCAAGGGGTGAGGACCTTGGCGATCCCAACCATTTCCTGCTGAGTTTTCTTCGCTCACCTACCTTCCATCCAGGGCAGCCATTCCCTGTCTACTGCCCCTCTCCGTGGGGCATTTATCTGCACATGCTCTTGTCGGCAGGAGTGAAGCAAGATGGGGTCGCGTGCCAGCGGTGCCTTCTCTGAGCACAGAAGGAGGCAGGGGGAAGGGAGGATCTGAAGGAAAGCAGTGGTGTGGGGTGTGGAATCTTATGGTTTGGAGAATGGGAGGCTCTTGTGGAGCTGCTCTGTAGCTTGCTTGCAGATTCAGCTGCCTCCAGTAAGGCTGGGCCTCCTCGGGCCCAGGGCACTGGGGACCTTCACCGTCTCTGTGGGCTCCTGGCACAGGCGTGCAGCCGGCAATGCGCCCGGCAGTGAGTGCTGTCTGGTGACAGGCAGGCAGGGCAGTGCCCGATCGTTCCAGACCTCCCAGGTTCCCCGGCCAGACCACATCTTGGGTCACAAACATGTCTTCACCCCAGGAACCTTCGGTCACACCAAGAATCCTTTCTGGCCATGGTGGAATGAATCCAGACATCCACAGCAGAAAGAGAACTGGAAGAATCACAAAGGAATCCTTTTTCTTTTTCTTTTTTTGTTGTGAGACAACTGGAAAGGAAACCACCACTTGCCTGGACAAACAGGATGCAGCAAAAGCAGCATCCAGAGGGAAGTTCATAGCACAAAAGACCTCCTGGGAAGAGCACACGGCAGCCATGCCACCATGGACTGCAGGGCACTAGAAAGAGGAGAGCCACGCCCCTGGCTAGCAGAAGGAAGCACCATCCTGGACTATCTATTAGGTCAAGTAACTCAAAAATCAAAGACATACATTGAAGTCAGAATGGCCAGATCCAGTGTACCTAGGTTTCTCTTGGCCTGGGGACTTTGACTCTTTGGTACTTGTGAATAGCAGCTGAATTCTGGAGGGAACACTCTCCTTGGGCAGCTTCTGTTGACAACACCCCAGCAGGAGGTCTGGGCTTACCCTGCTGTCTCAGTTCAAGGCCTAGAACTGAGCCTTGCTGGCTCAGTGTGGCCCCCTGGGGAATCACTGTGCCCCAAGAGGCAGTGCTCTGAGGATCTGACGCGGCCCATGCGACCTGGTGACCTCGAATCTCATTGCTGACACTGACACTCCGCAGAGAAGATGAGTAGCCTGTTACCAGGTCGGGAGCAAACGCCGGGAAGACAGAGGCTATGAACCCCAGGTACAACACCCTCCTGGTCAGGGCCCGGCCCCAGGACCTTCTCAGCCCAGGGCCTAGGAGGGGATCAATAGGATTGTCCTGCAAAGAGGACATCTTTGTGGCACTACAAGGTGTCCATTTCCCCCTTAGCCGTAGGTGAGGCCTAAGAAGGTAGGTCATGGGGGACTGCGCTAAGCTTGCAGCTGTGTTACTCCTTGTGACCCTTCCTAGAGTAGGAAGGGGCGCTCACTCCCCCTCCCCCCTTCATCTCCCCCCCTCCCCCCGTGATACTGCCTGCAGCCCCTGCTGCTGCCTGGGCAGGGCAGCCCCGTCCTCAGTTCTCACCTTGTAACAGCGCCAAGCGGTTTCTGCTCAGGTCACTGCACCGAGCCTGGGGGCTCATCTAAATCAACAGGGAGTCATGCCCGTGGCTCTTACCCCCACGGGCGCAGCTCCAGCAGAGCTGCGGGCCTGGCAAGGAAATTGAACGCAAATGGAATTTCAGGGGTGACAGAGGCGGGGCCTGGGGTGTGGAGGTTGCCTTTGTAGCATAAATTCATATGCATTATAAAAAATATCGCCCGAATCTGAAGAACTTGGCGGGATTCCAGGCGACGTACAGACACTAGCTCTGTGTTTACCCAGCATGCTTCAGTAAACTTTCAATCTATTTACAGGTATGCATGACAAACTGCCTTGAATGTATGAGTTATTGGTTCTGCTATAAATGAAATTAATACCAGGCGGTGGAGGAACTGTAGTAATAACCGGCCACTGAAGCCAGCTACGTGTCTGCACCGAGATCAGCCCTCAAGGGTGGGAAGTTTCTGGGAACTGTGGAACTCAGCCAACTCACCCGACACCTCTCAGGTTATCCAAACAGGAAGAAAAGGTGGTGTTTTGTGTAGGCGATTAGTGAGGAGATAAATCCAGAGATAAAGCCCAGGCCTGCACCAGAGAGCTTGTGAAGAGGCCCAGTCTTCCTGTCACGTTCAGCAGTCAGGAGAGGCGTGCCCTCCCACCACCTTTGTCATCAAGGGTGAGCTGGAGCCACCAGGGCTCTGGCCAGCCTCCCAGGAGCCCAGAGAGGATGCTGGAGCAGGTGGGCAGTACCCAGCTCTCATCTGAAATGACCCCAGCGCCCTCTTCAGGCTCCCAGCAGGCAGGAAGGAAGGGCACCCTGGAGTTGAACACAGGGACTGGGTAGCTTCAGGAGACTGGTGGCCCACAGGTCTGTCATTGTAATAATGGTAGGTGGTACCACACTGCTTGGCGCTGTTCGGTGTCTGGATGGTGATGTAGTAGGTGCTCTTCTGTGTCTGGGTCGTGTGGTAGTAGGTGCTGTTTCCTGTTGGGACTGTGGGGTTGTAGGAGCTTTTCCCTGCAGGAATGCGAGGCATGTGGCTGTTGCTTGGCTACCCAGCCGCGCTTGGTAACCAGCCATGTGGGTTTGTGGTGAATGTCAGTGGCAGAACCCTTGCCCGGCATGGGCAACGCCCTCGGTTCCATCCCCAGGAAAAAAGAAAAGCAAAAACAAGTCGTTTCTGAGCGTGGGGCCCATTGCTGACATTCACGGAGAAGGCTCCTGATGCCCAGGTGGAGGTGAGTTTCCGACTCCCTCCGTGGGCGGCTGCAGGAGAGCTGCTGAGTGCTGCCGCGGGTGTGGGTGTGGGGTTGCTGGGGGGGGGGACACCTGCTGTCCAGGAATGCGGTGTGAGGGCATGGACACAAGTCCGCACTCTCTGTAGATGCTCGCTCTCCATTCATCAGTGTGGGAATCCTGAGTAACTCTCCCCCGATCCACACCCAATAATGCGAAGCCTGTCTGTGATGGGTGGGCGTGTGAGTGACAGGTCTGCAAGCCCAGGGCTTCCTCCCATGCCCTGGGCTTCTCCCACTGCCCTGGGCAAACACAGATTAAGCAAGGCAGAGACCATCCCGGGGCAAGGCACAGATCGATGTGTCCCCCCGGGCTCAGCGGGCATGTGGAAGGCCCATATTTATTTGTGGGAGGCTGGAGAACTCTGTAATTATTGAAATAATGCAAGGGTTTGAAAGTGATGTCAGGTGGCTGGCAGCTCAGCCTCCAAAGGCTGACTTTCTGTCAAACAATGGAGCTGTTACACCATACCTGGCGGGCCCTTCGGCAGCTGCCGGTGCTGCTTTCCACCCAGCCTCTTGGTGGGCATTACCCAGGGGGAGAGGCTCAGCCTCCCCTAGCATGCCAGCTCTGGGATGGGGCAGGGTGGGTGGAGCGGATGGAGTGGGCGGGGTAGAACTGACTGCACCTTAAGCCTCTTCTCTCCTTAGAGATGCTGCCCTGTCACCGGGTACCCAGCCAGGTGAACCAGAGTCATGTCATCTGATTGGCTTGGGGCGAGATGCAGCAGCTTGGGGTGACATCTGGGAGTAGCTTGGATGGGCCTGTGGCCTGGTCTTGGCTGCTGCTCTGGTGCCCACATGACCTTCATGTTCAGGAGTGTCGCTCTTCGCAGAGGAGGCTCAGGATGTGCTCTTCTCTCGGCATGCCTAGGTGGAACACGCTTTTGCCAGAAGCACTTTTGGGGGTGGGCTCTGGCAGGCCAGCCGAGCTCCCTGGAAAGCTGTTGGAGGAAGGAGAGATGGGAGCCAGGGCTGGAATGGTGGACAGCCGACCCAGCAAACCGGACCTGGTCAGCTGGCTTCTTAGGCAACTATAAATTATAAGACAGGCAATTCTGAGACAGGTGAGTCAAAGGTCACAGTTCTTCCAGTCTGCTGAGAGGAGACGCCACAGATCCCAGGCAGAGGAAACAGTTCACATGGGGTGTGGGTCTGGGGGCGAGCTCCAAAATTGGGGTATCTGAGATGGGAGCTCAGCGGAGCAGGGAGCCGAGCCAGTCTTTCCTGGTGCCACCTAACTGGACCCAACGTGGTCATGTGAGCTGGAGGGATGCGTTCCATAAAGCCAGTCTGTTCTCTGTTTAGAGAGCTCAGGGCCGAGGCTGCCCTGGGCATGGAGAATCACGGGTGGGCATGGTGTGGCCACTTCTGGTACCTGCTGGACAAGGCCTGAGCTAAGAAAGAAGCAGACGTGAGGCAGCAAGACCCGGGAGACCGCCCAGCCCCCCTGGCTTACAGCCAACAAAAAGGCTTCACCTTGGGGACACACACGCTCAGCCCTGGGGTTTCTACAAATACGTGATCAGAACCGTCCAGGAATGAGAAAAATACATGTAACCTTTGTTCCACCTGTTCTCAGAGACAAACTGGGCCATTTTCAAGTCTAACACGGCCATTTTACAGGGTTCTCTTGAACACATCAGTGCGTGTACATCTACAACCTTTAATTTGCTTTGATTCATCACTGCTGCCTGAAATTCCGGTATCAGCCCCAAACACACTGACAGTCTAGGCATGAAATGAAATGGTGACTTAAAAACCTGACACCCCCCGCCCCCCCACACTAAATCTAGTCCAACCAGGCCTGAACGCAGGAATGCTGCGGCCTGGGACACTAGGTGGTGCTGTCTGCAGCTCTGCCACCCCCACAGCTGGTGTTGGGAAGCTGTGGCTGCCCGTGGGGCCGAGCTTGAGGCTCAGGCCAGCTGAGGAAAGGAAGAAAAGGAGGAACACACTCTCAAAGTTGAGGACATGTCGACGGATCGCCACAGAACGCCAGGGAAGGGAATCCACGTGCAGAATGCAGTGAAGGTGGATGGAGATTGAGATGGCTCAGCAGGGATACAGGCCTAGACAGGGAACAGCTCACCGTTCAAGAATGTGAGCCCAGAAGCCTGGTTGTGCCCCCTTGTTCTTCTGTCCGTGGGAAGTCAGCACTGGGCCCGCATGCATCGCCCCAGACCGCAGAGGGCTCGCACTGGGCCCGCATGCATCGCCCCAGACCGTAGAGGGCTCGCACTGGGCCTGCATGCATCGCCCCAGACCGCAGAGGGCTGGGCACTGGGCCCGCATGCATCGCCCCAGACCACGGAGGGCTCGCACTGGGCCCGCATGCATCGCCCCAGACCGTAGAGGGCTCGCACTGGGCCTGCATGCATCGCCCCAGACTGCAGAGGGCTGGGCACTGGGCCCGCATGCATCGCCCCAGACCACGGAGGGCTCGCACTGGGCCCGCATGCATCGCCCCAGACCGCAGAGGGCTCCCACCAGCGGGGTGGGGTGGGGCTGCCGTCCCATTCCCACCGTCCTTGTAGTGAGTTCCTGTTCAGCGAGGTGCTGAGCAGTGGCCTGCAGGAAGCTCACCCAGGAGTGCCCGTCCAGCGCCAGCCCGGCGTCCAGTTTCTCCCTCCAGCTTGGATGGGCAGCCGTGTGACACTGCTGACCTGAGCCGCACACACACGTGGTTTTCATTCCGCGTCCGTGACGAGCTCTCAGCATGTGTGTCGTACCCTCTCTGTCACCGCCTAATGTTGAGTTCCACAGCGGGCCAGGGCCCGCTCCACGCCGCGTCTCTAGGCCAGGCCTGGTACCTCTCCACATGGCGTCTCCCTTACCTGCAGTGAACTTGTGCAGGCTCCAGGCCTCTGTTGTGCAGGAGTGAGAGCAGCTGTCTGTGACAATCTGTCTCTAGGACTGTATGGGCTTCTGATTGCTGCTGTAACAAGTTACCTCCAACAGCATAGGTCTAGAGGTCAGAAGAGTCTGATCCCAGCCCAGCTGGGATAAGATGTAGTTGGCATCAGGGCTGGTCCCACTGGAGGCTGGTCAGGGAAAAGCTACTTCCGTGCCTCTTTTAGCTTCTGTGGACCCTGCTTTCTGGGGCTTGCAACCCCGCCCTCCCTCATGCTGATCTCCCATGTTGACATCTGTCATGTTCCTTTGGCAACATGAAGTAACATATGCGTGGGGTTTAACCCTTGTTTGTGTGTTTGGAGGGCAGGGCCCTGCCAGCCACAGGTGCCTGCCTCATGGCCTTTGCATGTTCTCTGCCTAGCCTGGTGGCCTGCAATTCCAACAGTCCTTTTCCATTGTCTACCTGTGTACCCCTTTCTGCTGGCTTTTTGAGGTGTTTGTTTGTTTGTTTTGTCAGTATTGGGTCTTGAACTCTGGGCCTGGGTGCTGTCTCTGTGCTCTTCAGCTCAAGGCAAGCGCTCTACCACTTGAGCCTTAGCTCCACCTCTGGTTTTCTAGTGGTTGATTAGAGATAAGAGTCTCACAGACTTTCCTGCCCAGGCTGGCATTGAACCGAGATCCTCAGATCTCAGCTTCCTGAGTAGCTAGGATGACAGGCGTGAGCCACCAGCATCTGGCTGGCTTTTTGAGGATTTTATCAACCTTTAGTTAAAAGAAATAAAATAGTTGCCTCCATTTTTAAATACTCCCAAAACGCAGTCTGCATTTTTCATGTTCTGAATAGACAATTTCCTAAGCCCATCCACTCATTGAGAATCTGGTGTTCTTCCATTGTTTTGGCCGCCACCAGCCCTGCTGTAACTTGAAGTCCAGAGCTATAAGGCGAATGGGATTCCCATGGCCAGCTCCCAGAAAGAAAGACACCGAAGGGTGCTGGGCCCCTCTTTTTGTCTGACCCACATGATAGTGAAGTGTAGCAAGGCTAACGGGTTGGCAAAGCCGCTGTGAGCAGGAGTTTAGTCAGAATATTAGCTCCCTTTAAGGCAATTTCTGCCTGACCTGCTTTAATTTGCTCTGTGTATGAGTGAGATAGATGTTGGGTGGAAACCAGGTGGATCCCAAGCGGAAGCCGCAGGGGTGGGGAGAGAGCTGTGAGATGGCCCCCATCCCAGCACCACGCCTGCCTGGGAAGCCATGGAGAGGGGCTGCGGAAACGGCCACGTGGGAGAGGTGGGGGCCGGGTGGCCAGGGGGCACCGGTCTGCACGTCCCACAGTGGGAAGCTGCGTGCAGGCACAGGCTCCTGGCACACCTGAAGATGCTGGGGGCTGGACCAAGCCAGGAGAGACTCAGCCGGGGCCCTGGGGCCCTCCAGCCCCTGCGTCAGCCAGAGGCCTGCCATGCCCAGCCAGGGGCAGTGCCCAGCCAGGGGCAGTGCCCAGCCCAGTGACGCTGGTGGGCAGGGTCCAGGAGTGTAGCTCCTGAGAAGGATCCTGCAGAGAGACCCACAGAGAAAATACGAGAAAGGGCTGCTCTCCGTGACACGTAGCTGTCACCCCAGCTACTTCTGGTTGGAACCACAGAACCATGTTCCCTTTCCTGGCAGTGGCCCAGCCCTCCTCCTGACATGTGGGGAGCACGCATGGTTATCCCATGTCCGTTAGCCGGTTTAGTGCACTGTCCGGGCCTCCCCTGAGCCACTGTGTCAGAGCTGCTGCCCCACGTGTCTCGGGCTTGCTCTGAGAGATCGCATTCCACCAGAACCCAATTCTGTATGATCAGTAAGGGAACTCCACAGGAGTTGGGGGGTGTGGAGCTCAGGGGGCTCTGCGGGGGCACGTGGGTGTGGAGCGCAGGGACAGCGTCTACACGCGTGCAGAGCACGGGCATCCCCAGCAGCGCATGGTGGAATGCAGAAGGGCCAGTTCCACCCCGGGTATCGGGGCAGAGACCGGGGCTGTGTTTCCGGGGAAGCAGCAGCTCCTAAATCCCCTCGTCAGATGTACACTTCAGAGGACAAAGACGCTGTGACTGGCAGGTAAATCCATAAATCTTGTTTTCCTCCTTTAAAAATGTCTTTCACCCTGGATTATGGCCTGGGCACATCTGGAGATATTTGTAACTGTCGAAATGAAGTTGAAAAATGCTCTTCTCCCAGGTCTTTATCACGCGGGTGGCCCGGGCCCCCAGCTGCCTCTGGCCCGAGTCCATGCCACACGCCGCAGGACAGAACCCCCCACGGTCTGTCCTCCACCAGACCTCTGTCTGTGCCTGGTGCCATGAGCTCAAGAAAGCACAAGGGCACTTTTTTATTATTAGGTGCTACATTTTTAATGGACGGTGGTAATTAACACTATTAATTCTGCCTGTGCCACGAGAAGGTGCTGACAGTGGCCACCTCCGGGCCTGTGTCCCAGTAGAGGGGCAGCTGTGATGTAAACCGATAGGTACAGAAGTCAGAGACCGGTGTGTGACATCTAGATGTGAGGTCTTTCTTGTAAGTGACAAGGTGACAGATGAGTGACAGCGCTTCTCACAGAGATGACTCTTCTGGCTCTCGATCCTGGAGGCTGAATGAACCCTCTGCAAGACTGACCGCATGACACACACTGCTG